TAATAATCGTTTCCCTAAGATTGGGAATTTCAAGACTAGGGGACATATTTTGAAGGTGAGAGGACAGAGATTTAAAAATGACATAATAGGCAAATTTTTTATACAGAGGGTGCTTCACGTGTGGAAAGAACTTCCTGAGGAAGTGGTGGATGCGGGTAGAATTACATGTTTAGAAGACATTTGGATGGATATATGAATAGGAAAGGTTTGGAGATATGGGCCAGGAGCAGGCAGGTGGGACTAGTTTAGTTTGGGATTACGTTCAACATGGACTAGTTGGACTGAAGGGTCTCTTTCCATGCTGTATGGCTGCAGGATTTTGTGATTCTTTTACTGGGCTTTCTACTGAATTTATGATGGGCAATCAAAAGAACCCTTACAAAAAAAAGAGTAAAACTGTTGATTTTATCGGGGAGCTAAAAAGAAACATCAGTAAACCTTAAAGCTAAGAAGGAATTTATTTTATTTTATTTATCAGGCCTACCCAAGCCTTTTCTTCACAGTTGGAGTTGGCATGTGTCATTCCAACATTCCAACGAGCAGCTCACCAATGAGCTTGTGTTCTGTACTGCCCTGTTTCATTTGCATCAAATGTCGAATGATTCCACCCCCTAGATTTGAGGCACATTTTCACCTCTCCTGCTAACAGAGCAGCAAGTAAGTGAAATTTCAGACCCTGAAATGGGAAAAATCCTTTTGTTCTTCGGGTTTTTTTTAATGTTTTGATTTTGTCTGAAATTGACATTTTAATTTTGGTTTTTAATCTCCCTTTTTCTTTATCTTTCAGAGTCTTAGGTATTAATACTAACATGTCCCTGGCTCTATATGAACCATATTTTGCCTTTACATGCCCTATGTCTAGGGACTTTTCCCACAAATGTATTCTAAAAGGGATTATTTGATATCAATTAGAAGTAAGAATATCGCTGATATTCTCCACTGTAGCCAAAGACAGTGAAACCAATTATAGCCTCCCACTCACCTGAAATTAGCTAATTCACGACAAGGTAGGGAGAAAACATGGGATCTTGCTGATTTGGTGGTTACTTGTACTGCTAAACAATCAGAGGAGTCATGTCCACAAGGGTCTTGAAAGACCCAATATTATTAAGTACATTGTTTATTGAGATTATTGACTTTTTAATTGCTAACAATTTATTTCAGGCTTGAACAAGAATAACTTATCTTTACTGTAGCACTTGAATGTGTTAGAACACCCCAACACACTTCTTGAGAATGGTGTGAAACAAAATTTGACACAGTCATATCAAGAGTTATTAGGGTTGATGACCTAAAACTTGGTCAAAGAAATAAATGTGGGGAATTTGCCCTCAGTATATAATACAGCCAAGTGTGAAAGTCATTCAAGTCTGGAATTTGCAAGTTTACAATGTCAGTAGTTGAATATTCTAGTATTAAAGCTGAATGTACTCCCAGCATGGTTGGCATTAATTGTATCCAAAAAATACATCAATAAGTTGTCAAAAATTGTGAACAAATTGCATTCTGTTATCACCTATAGCTTTTGTCCTTGCCATCATCCTAACCTCACATTTTATCTCTAGTTTCTCTCATCCTTTTCTTTCTGAGTATATCTTGTCAATGAAATTAACAAGATCTAGACAATATGTAGAGTTGGCTGACAAGTGGCAAGTAACACAAATGCCAGGCTTTCTTCATCACCAATAAGAGGCAATCTAGCCACCATCCTTTGACATTCAATGGTGTTACCATCACTCAATCGCCCACTATAAGCATACCACTGACCAGAAACTCAACAGGACTTGCCATATAAATACAGTGGCTAAGAGCAAGTCAATGACTAAGAATATTGCAGTGAGTACCTCGCCTCCTGACCCCCCAAAGCTTGTCCATCATGTCCCCACTTGCCTGGATGCATGCAGCTCCAACAGCACTCAAGAAGCTTGACACCATCCAGGACAAAGCATCCTACTTGTTTGGTGACATATCCACAAGCATCCACTTCCTCCACCACTAACACTATGTAGCAGCAGTGTGTATTGTTTACAAGATGCAGGGCAGAAATTCACCAAAGATCCTCAGACAGCACCTCCCAAAACAGCAACCCACTTCTATCTAGGACAAGGACAGCAGATATATGGCAACACCACCAAATGTAAGTTCCCCTCTAAGTTACTCACCATCCTGACTTGGAAATATATCATTATTCCTTCACTGTTGCTGGGTCAAAATCCTGAAATTCCCTCCCTAATGGCATTATGGGTCAGCACAGCAGGTGGACTTTAGCAATTCAAGAAGGCAGCTCACCATCACCTTCTTGAGAGCAACTAAAGACTGGGAATAAATGCTGGCCAGCCAGCAATGCCCACATCCCACAAATGAATAATTAAAAAAAACCTCCTACTTCCTCCATTCTATTTCCACCAATCTCCTGACCACTTACCTTCAGTTTGTGGCTCTTAGGTCAGCTGGTGTTAATGGTTCCAACTCCTCAGGTACTCTTCCACTTCCTGACCATTTCACTGTCATTATTCCACTTCTCAAAAAAACAACTCTTGACCACTCTGTTCTGGAAACCTGCAAAACAAAGTTCTGCACCTGCCCAAAGTCTTTGAATGTACTGGCACATCCCAAATTTGTGCCCACTCCCCTGCAACTTTATGTTTAAATCATCAGAAACACATTTTCACCCTACCACAGCATTAAAACAGCCCATATCAAAGTCATAGAGTCATATAGAATGGAAACAGACCCTTCAGTCCAACTTGTGTGCGCTAACTAGACATCCCATTCTAATCTAGTCCCATTTGCCAGCATTTGGCCCATATCCCTCTAAACACTTCCTTTCATATATCCATCCAGATGTGTTTTAAATGTTGTATTTGTACCTGCCTCCTCCACTTTCTCTGGCAGCTTGTTCTGTACAAGCACCATCCTCAGCATGCTTTTCAAATTGTTCCCCTCTCACCTTAAACCAACGCTGACTCATTTTAGGCTCCCCTATCCTTGGGAAAAAAAGACATTGGCTATTCACCCAACCTATGCCCCTCATGATTTTATAAACCTCTATAAGGTCACCTCTCAGCCTCCCAGGGAAAAAGCCACAGCCTATTCAGCCTCTCCCTATAACTCAAATCGTCCAGTCACAGCAACATCCCTGTAAAACTTTTCTGTACCCTCTCAAGTTTAACAACATCCTATTGATGGTGAACCAGAATTGTACACAATATTCTAAAAGTGGCCTCACCACTGTACTTTACAACCGCAACATGACATCCCAACTCCTATACTCAATATTCTGACCAATGAAGGCAAGTATGCTAAACACTTTCTTCACCACCCTGTCTACCCACGACTCCACTTTCAAGGAACTGTGCACCTGCACGCCTAGGTCTCTTTGTTCGGCGACACTCCCCAGAGCCTTAGAATTAATTGTATAAGTCCTCGCCTGGTTTTCTTTACCAAAATCCAACACCTCCCATTTATCTAAATTAAACGGCATCTGTCACTCCTCAGTCTATTGGTCCATTTAATCAAGGTCGCGTTATACTCTGAGATAATCTTTTTCACTGTCCACTACCATTTGTCACCTGCAAACGTACTAACCATGCCTCCTGTATTCACATCCAGGTTATGTAAATGATGAAAAGCAGTGGACCCAGCACACTTGTGGCACACCGCTGTTCACAGGCCTCCAGTCCAAAAAGCAACCACCTACCACCACCCTCTGTCTCCTACCTTCGAGCCAATTTTGTATCTAATTGGCTAGTTCCCCCTGACCCCATGTGATCTAATCTTACTTATGAGTCCACAATGTGGAACCTTATCAAACACTTTGCTGAAGTCCATATAGACAAAGTCCACCACTCTGCCTACATCAATCTTCTTTGTCACCTCTTCAAAAAACTCAATCAAGTTAGTGAGACACAATTTCCCATACAGAAAGCTATGTTGACTATTCCTAATCAGATCTTGCCTTTCCAAATGCATGTAAATCCTGTCCAACAATCTACCCACCACTGACATAAGGCTCACTGGTGTATAGTTCCCTGGTTTTTTCTTACAGCTTTTCTTAAATAATGGCACCACATTCACCAATCTCCAGTCTTGTGACACCTCACCTGTGGCTGTCGATGATACAAATATCTCAGCAAGGAGCTGAGCAATCTGTTCCCTGGTTTCCCACAAAGTTCTGGGAAACACCTGATCAGATCCTGGGAATTTATCTACCTTTTGGAGTTTTAAGACCTTCAGCACCTTCCCTTCTGTAATATGAGTTGTTTTCAAGACATCACTATTTATTTCCCCAAGTACTCTAGCTTTTCCAGTGTTATATTTGATTTAAACATGACGAGGGACACTGACGTCCACCAACATTACATTGCCCAACTCCATCTCAGTCTCAACTGCTGGTGAAACTCTGTCTCATATTTTTGTTAAACCTAGACTTGAGAATTCTGTTGCTCTCCTGGTTGGGTTTCCATTGCTCAACTTCCATAACCTTGAGCTCAACCAATATTCTGCCAGTATCCCAACATGTACTTAGTTCGGCAGTAATGCCCCTGGTCACTAATATTGGTTCCTGGCCCAGTAATAATTCCATTTTGAAATTCTCAACCTTAATTTTACATAACATGATATCCAGGCATCTCCCCATTCTTAGCCTATCCTAAAGCCGTCCTCTAGCTATATTCTTCCAAGTAAGTCTTCTTACAAATCCCCAACTTTAATTACTTCACATTTGGCAGTTGTGCTTTCCACTATCTGGCTCATGAATTTTCTCAGTCAACATTTTTCTCCTTATTTAAGATAATCCTTAAAACCAAAGGCCATAACCTCTCCTTGTATATTTTCATATGACTCCTTGTCAAAAATTACTTTCAACAGGCTTTTGAAGCACTTATGTTTTGTTACATGAAAGGTTTTATATAATTGCAGCTTATTATCATGTGTTATGTACATTTTGTGAGGACATAAATATAATTATAAACTATAATAATGATTTTCTGTTTTTTCAGACAGAAGTGGTGATGGACCTGCAGATGGCATTAAGGCATATGAATCAAAAATTCAACAACTGGAGAAGGACCTGTATTTCTACAAAAAAACAAGCAGAGAATTAAAGAAAAAACTGAGGGAATTGGTCGAATCGTTAAACCAGAATCAGCACATGGCAGCTTCAAAAAGTACTTAACTGCTTTATCATTCATGCTTTCAAGTATTTTTCTAGGAAATTATTTTTCATTTTTTCCCATAAACATAAATCTCATTTCTCCACATGCTTACATGACGTGGATTCTCTGGGCCAGATGGCCTCCTTGTGCCACAGTGACTGTCTAACTCTAGCTGCTGGAGATGAGTTCAAATTGCTTAAGAATATCTGTCTCCTTGATTTTTACCTGTTGGTGGTATTCAGTATCTCTCTGCAATAACATAGCATAAATCAGAAGGGTACCCTATTGGTGTACTGGAGTTCCAACATGCCACAACGCTGCTACTTCTTGGCTTTAGATTTTAAGAGAAAATTAAACTAATATCAGCTGGCCCAACTACAGCATGGACACAATGGGCCAAATGTATCCTTCTGTTCCCTAACTCTTACTACATTTCTATGTAACCAGTTTGTGTTGACGTTTATTCCCAATCTTAGTAGTAAATCTAATACCATATGCATGCTAAATAAAACCGAAAGATCTGCGGATGCTGTAAATCAGGAACAAAAACAGAAGTTGCTGGAAAAGCTCAGCAGGTCTGTGAAGAAAAAAAATCATAGTTAATGTTTTGGGTCCGGTGACCCTTCCTCAGAACTGTTCTGAGACGTTAATGGCCTGCTGAGCTTTTCCAGCAACTTCTGTTTTTGTACCAAATGCATGCTGTTTTCATGTACATTTGGTCCCTTTTCCTTCAACCATTTAGGTAATTATTCTTAAATTTTGAAATAGCCGGTGCTTCAATAACAGTTTTATTTTGCATCCATTATCTCACAGCTTTGTGTAGCTAGAAAAAATTCTCCTCTTTACACTCTAATTCTCCTATGTTTACTCTTATATTGGTGTAGCCTCTTCACAGACCCCTCAATCACTGAAAACTGTTTCTGTTTATTCTGTTCCATATTATTATAATTTTATTGACAAGATTTTGATCCACAAATGGTTTGTTGAGTAATGGTAAAAAAGGATAAGACTGTTCTTGGACAAAGGGTTAGCAATGTGTCATTGTCTGTTTCTGATGGAAGTGATGCAGGTTGTGCAGCAAGCTGTCTCCAGGAATGTGGCATATAGCCCAGCACTAAATATGTTGCTGAGTGACTAAAGCTCATCAGGGGATCCAGATTTGTGCAAGGCAATCACTAATTAAAGTTAGCTTGCTGTTATCAAATAAACCCAGTCTGCAACTCTTACAAGGGAGTTGCAGTCTGGGTACAGATGGTGGAAGTAGCTGGAAGAAATCATGCCATTAGAACAGCAGGCCAGAGAGAAGGATCCTCATTTTGTGTATGCAGACTGGTAGCCTTAGTCAAGAGGTGGACAGAAGGAGAAAGTTAATATTTCCACAAGGATCCCAGAGGCCTTCTGGATATATCCTTTGAAGGCAGTGGGAGCAGTCAACCCAGAGATCAGTGCCAGAATTCTAGCCCCGAAAAGCTGGATACAGTGTCAGTAAAAGTTGATGACCTCACAAAAATGGTCAGGGTGAATGGATATTACTTCAAATGCCATCTGCTACCATCTATCACACCAATCTACCACTACCACTGCTGAATGCACCACACTCTCATTACTCACCTATCAGTAAACTTTAGAAATCAGCACTCACATGCTTCACCACACTCTCACAAATTTCCACTGTTGCAAGCTTCATTATCACAACTTTCCCATAATCCCAGTTATTCAGCTGTGGCAGGCATATTACCAAAATACATTGCAACACTTTAACATTCTTGTACAACATGAAAACTATAACTGGTAGCAACAAATAGCTGGTAAGTCACAAGTAAGGCTACATTTTTTTTTCCTTCACTGCAGAGGCAGCATTTGACTTAGGTGCAGCCATCATCGAGGTCATGGGAACCAGAGTTGCTAAAGTTTATTTTTTGTTGCTTTTTATTCATTCATGGGATGTGGGTATCGCTGATGGGACAATATTAAAGCCCATCCCTAGTTGTCCTCAAGAAGGTGGTGGTGAGTTGCCTTCTTGAGCCGTTGGAATTCAGTTGGTGTATGTAGACACATAATGCTATTAGGGAGGGTGTTATATCATTCCATCATGTATCATCATTGAACATATTTAAGGCTGAAATAAACATTTTTGTGGTGTCTTGTGAAATCAAGCAATATGGGAAGTTGTTATGGAGGGACCTACAGAAAATGGACGATAACCATTGAAGAAGGCAACATGCCACCATCTTCTGATGGACAAAAATACTGACTTAATAAATGCCCACATCCCATGAATGAGTTTTAAAAAATGACATTGTCATGCTCATGCTTATAGTCAATGCCTGAGACACTGCCATCACTATACCTATGTCTTGTCTCACTTGGAGGGTAGATTGTTAGAGTACAGTACTCAGTCAGTGGAATCCACATTATAGGAGGGATGCAGTTGCACAAGTGAGAGGGCAGAGGAGATTTACCAGTGTGTTGCCTCAACTGGAGAGTTTTAATTATGAAGAAAGATTGGATGGACTGGGGTTATTTTCTTTGCAGCAGAGGAAACTGAGAGAAAACATAATTGAGATGTATAAAATTCTGAGGCCATAAACAGGGTAGATGGGAGGAAGCTTTTTCCTTTGATGGAAGGATCATTGACCAAGAGCATAGATTTGAGGTAAGAGGCAGGACATTTAGAAAAAATGTGAGGAAGAAAACCCAGAGGGTGGTGGAATCTGGAACTCATTGCTTGTAAGGGTGATAGAGGCAGAAACTTCCATAACATTTAAGAAGTATTTAGGTGTACAATTGTGATGCAAACGCAAATAAGGCTACAGGTCAAGTACTGAAAAATGGGATTAGAATAGCTAAGTGGTTTCAGATATAGTAGGAACTGCAGATTTTCTGAAGAAGGGTCTAGGCCTGAAACGTCAGCTTTCCTGCTCCTCTGATGATGCTTGGCCTGCTGTGTTCATCCAGCTCTACACCTTGTTATCTTAGAATAGCTAAGTGCTTATTTTTTGACCAGCACAGACACAATGGACTGAAGGGCCTTTTTCTGTGCTGTGGACCTCTATGAATTTGAGACCCAGTAGAGTGGTTGTACAATGGTACAGTCAGAAGGGAGGTGCCATAAGAATCCTTAACGTAGACTTTGGCCCCCATGAATTCTCATGGCATCAGGTCAAACATGTGCAAGGAAGCCTCCTGCTGATTATCACCTGTTGCGACCATAATCGCACTGAATCAGTCCCCCGGTGGCTAGGGGACTTCAGTGTCCGTCTCCAAAAGTGGCTTGATAGCATGACAACTGACTGAGCCGTCTAAGTCCTAAAGTATTTAGCTGCTAGACTGGGTTTGCATCACCTTACTGAGGGAGCCAACAAGAGGTAAAAAATATATTTGATCTTGTCCTCACCCATATACTTCTGGCAGATGTGTCTGCCCCTGACAGCATTAGTAGACTTGAAAACCACACTGCCATTGTGGAGATGAAATCCCAAGTCCACATTGAAGATACTTCTCCTTCGTGTTGTGAGGCTTTCTGACCATACTAAAGGGACAGATTTCAAACAGATCTAGCAACTTAAAACCGGGCATCCGTATGACATTGTAGGCAATCAGTAGCAGAAATATTGTATCCAAGCACAATCTGTAACCTTGTGGACCAGTCTACTATTACCATCAAACTGGAAGATCAATCCTGGTTCAATGAGAGTGTAGGAGGCATGGTGGGAGCAGCACCAGCGAAAAGTGAGGCATCAACCTGATGAAGCTACAGTCCGGCGCTGTTTGCATGCCAGACAGCATAAGCAACATGCAAGAGATAGTGCTAAGTGATCCCACAACCTATGGTTCATATCTAAGTTCTGCTGCCCTGCAGTATTCATTCGTGAATATGATAGATACTTAAATATTCAATCATGAATGTGGTGGATACTTATGTGGATACATAAAGAAGAGACTTCACAAATATTCACCTCCTCAATTATGGGGGGGCCCAGTACATTGGTGCAAAACGTAGGCTGAAGCATTTGTATCCAATTTCAGCCATGAGGATCAGATGAATCATCTCAGCTTCCTTCTGAGGTCGAAGCATCATAGATGCCAACCTTCAGCCAACTCAATTCACTCCATGTGATATCAAAAAAAAGGCTCAATGTACTGTATACCATAAAGAATAACGGCCTTGATAATATTACAGTAAGGGCACTGAAGAATTGTGCTCCATAATCAGTCAAATTATTCCAGTACAGCTACAACACTAGCATTTATCCAACAGTGTATAAAGTTGCCCAGATATGTCTGTAGTAAAAATGGAGTGAATGAGAGTCAGTGGAAAATTTCTCTGGCTGGACTCATACTTAATACAAAGGAAGATGATTGTGATTGATAGTGGTCAATCATCTCAGTTTAAGTATATCACTAATGGAGTCCCTCAGGATAGATATTTTTAAAACAGCATCCAGACATGAAATGACACACCTCTGGAGCAGGTGGGACTTGAACCCAGACCTTCTGGCTCAAAAAGTATTTCCACTGTGCCAAAATAGCCCTTTCTCAAAATAGTGTCCTAGGCCCAATAATCTTCAGCTTCTATATCATTGACCTTCCCTCTGTCATGAGGTCAGATGCGGTGATGTACACTGATGAATGCATAATATGTTGACCACCATTCGTGACTCCTAATGTATTGAAGCAGTCATTGGCTGTATGCAGCAAGATCTGGAGAACTTTATGAAGCAGCTAACAAGAGTAATTTCACAGTGGTTAGACCGAGAAATTGCACAAGGGCTCTGGAGATTAAGTTTCTCTGAAATAATAAGCAGGCAGTTTCATAGCTGACATGGGACGTCTAATATCCAGCTTCTCATGCAGCTGCAGAGGTATCTGATTTTTTAAAAAAAATCACTGCCTGAAACTACAGGAGAAGAGGACGACCTTTTGGTTTTTGAGCCTGACCAAGTGTTTGAATTTAAGATTTATAAAACTTCTAAATCTTAACCTGTTTTTTGTAAATATATACTAGTCAG